AAAAAAAAAAAAAGAGCTTTTGTCTTGCTCTGGCCTCTGGGTCACATTAAACTTAGAACCTATAAACAGCAAAAGCTTTTCGATTCGAGCATGTTCCGAAAGCCGATGATGACTTGACAGATTCCAATGACTTTAACTTCTTTGGTGGTAATACTATGACGACTCGACAGATTCCGATGACTTTAGCTTCTTTGGTGGAGGATTACCACCGGATAACACCACGTAGGAATAGAAGGTGAGCATTGCAGCACTGTATAAATAAATAAATATATAAATAAAAAATCTAATTGATGAATGTAAAAGTAACTTAGAAATATGGAATAGTTTCACCACATAGGAAAAAAAAAGGGAAGGTAAAATGGTTAAAAATCACGTTGTTGTACCTGATGACGATACTAAAGCCCGTGGGGAAGAGCTTTTTTGTCTGAGATAATGTGAAATGTTTTACCCGATTAATAATGGAACAGAGAATGCAGCAGGTGAAAAACGATAATTTTCAGAAATTTAGTCTATTTACCAATGCATAGGCTTGAAAATTCTTCCGAAGTAGGGCGATAGACAGTACTGCATTGTCAGAGACTCGGAACATAAAACTACAGAATATCTCGAATAGAGGAAACAACAACATAACCGGTATATCTTGAATAAAGGAAACCAGAAAAAAAAAAGAAATAAAATGTGATAATTGTTGATTACTTGAGGACTAATTTCTGTATTGTGCTACAGATTATATTGAGTAAGTTCGAAAATTGTCTTGGCTCTAAATCTAACTATTTCGAAATCTGATAACAGTTGGTTTAAATCTATATCTAATCCCTTGTTTTTCAAGACTCAATACAACACAAAGTGTTTCATGCTTTCAGGCGGATACAGTTGGAATCATTTAACCTTAAGGCTTTTGTTCAGGAAAAAAAAAAAAAAAAACTTACGGCTTCACTATATTCTCAGAACATGGTAAAAAGAAGAAAGAAAGAATAATCACCTGCTTGACCCAATATAAATGGTAAGCTGGATTTTCCATGTCTCCAGACCTTCAAGCTAATAGTGCTAAGTGCTAGCAAAGCACCTCCGTAGAGCACATCGGTCCTTAAAGAAACAGGGTTTCTTGTGAAAATAAAGCCAACTAGTCCACCGCTTAGCACAAGTCCACCTATGAAAGAAATCATCTTATTTAGTTGACTAAGTTTTTTGAGACCTAAAACACGAACGCTGCCAATGTAAAATTTACTTGCATAGTTGCGCATTCATGGCAAAAGTATTCAACAAGTCCACCTATGAAAGAAATCATCTTATTTAGTTGACTAAGTTTTTTGAGACCTAAACACGAATGCTGCCAATGTAAAATTTACTTGCATAGTTGCGCATTCATGGCAAAAGTATGAATATATATAGTTAACCATAATGAAGAATATTAGTAAGCAACTTACAGTTTCAACTTTCTGAAATATTAGTTTCAGTTTGCAAAGTTTTGCGAACTCCGTTTTAAGAAAGTATATTGATTTGGTCTATGATTCAAAGCCTTTTCTTTTCATCTTTCTTCTGATTTTTTTTTTATTTTTTTTTATTATTTTTTTTTTTTGGAGCTGAAGTGAGGTGAGGGATCAAGTGTAGTAAATGTTCATGCTTAAAAAAAAGTGATATTTAAGGTCGTAGGATCTAGAATTTTCTGGAAACTTCTTGCTCGTATCTCTAATTAAAAGGAAGTTTGGTCTTTCCAACACTCTCCAAGAAAACAACCAAATATGGAACAATTTATTCCAAACTGAAAATTAAAGTGGTACATTTAACCAATTAGAAACCAATTGCAATTTCTTGAGTACATCTAGAAACAGAAAGTGCTGATCGATAATGTAAGAAGTCCAGGACATAGAAACAAAGAACGAGAAGGATACTCTCATTTCTCCACATAACAAAATAAAAAAAAAAATAAAACCAAGTCCCAAAACACTCACCAAAGGGGATTCCGAAACAAAAATCATGAATCTTAGCTGCCCTTTTAGGCTGGCTGATGAGTACCTCCGGTGTGTGCCCATTTGATGCTCCAATTACAGAACCTTCTGTGAGAGGCTCTGATTCTATTGAAGTTCCGTTATGCGACTTTAATTCACCGTTTTCCAAATTGGATAGATTCGAGCTATGTCCATCACTACTAATAACATTTAGCACCTGAAGATAGAATTTTCATCAACAAATAGCACAAAAATTGACAGCTATATAGCTGCTGCCAAAGCCGAATTTTAGATTTCAGACATCACATTACAATATATGCAACCATTTTAAGATGCATAGGCAACTAACTATGTTAAAAACCAATCAAGTAGCTCGATAGTCGACTTGGAATTGACACATAAGAAATAAACAAAGATGAACTCATTATCTGACCGCAACCCAAGAGAAAACGAGAAATCAGGTGTTAAGCGTGTAAGATTAACTTCATAACCTTATTATCCTTACATCAACATTTGTTATCTTAATTAATCTTGGGATTACGTTATCTTAGTATTTTAACCAAGATTCGGAGGCCGGTAATCGCTGGTAAATTTTAGCAAGAAGCAGGTTGCTGTATTGGGATATGGCCAGAGTCGAAACACAGTTTACTTGCACCATTTACAGCACTTCAATGTCCAATCAACAGAACAAAATCATTGCATAACACAAAAATCATCTCTTCATTCTGTTCCCACAATCTAAGAACTCAGATTCCACGACCTATAAAAATGCAACCTTTACGAGGAAAAACGAAAGGAATGAAAATTGAAAACACACAGTTAAACTATTGATATCCCAACTTCCCCATTAATGAAATCAAATCAACCAAAACCCTAATCAGACAACAACTACACGTCTCACAATCTTCAGGGCTCCCATAAGAATAGGAACTTTAATTAAAATAAATAAATAATTAATTAAAGAATGCATTAAAGCATTAAAGAGTACCTTTACGGAACGATAGCCGGCAGGGAACGAGTACGATCTGGATTTGTGCGGCAACCGACGGCTGCTAATCGTTGATGAGAAACACGACATCTGAGCAATCGCCGACGGCATTATTTCTGCTGATTCTTGAATATAACTGGTCTGGTCTCCTTTTTTTCCTTTACTGCTGTTCTGCAATTTTTGTGAATTTCAAGGAGGAGCTGTTGATGGTGATGATGGCGACAAACGAAGAAAATGAAGAAGAAATAAATTAAAACAACTCGTGGGAAGTGCGCAGAGTCTTGACATTTTTGTTTATTTTTTATTATTTTATTTTGAAAACTTTCATTTTTTATTTTTATATATATATATATATTTTTTTTTTTCTGCTTTAAGGGAATATTAAAGTGTAAAGATGTGTTTGGTTGAACTTATTCATCATTAAATTGGAGGTCAAATATGTGTAAAAAATGAAATAAGGGTTAAGGGCTCAGCAGTTTATCATTGAAAGATATATTGTTTTGACATAGTCTCGTGGTCTGAGGTTTGTCGTCCCAAGTCGGATGGGGGGTTAAGGATGCACGAGCAAAGAATCATGAACCAAGCTTTGCTCATGAAGCTGGCATGGAGACTTCTGACGCAGCCGGACTTGCTGTGGTGTCAGGTGATGAAGGTAAAATATAAGTTGGAGCCGCTGGAGATGGGTGAGGACTTCGAGTTCCCTAAGGGCTCGACAGTTTTGCGTTCCATCCGGGATGTGTGGGGTGCCACAGTGAAGGGCTGCCGGTGGTCGATAGGGAATGGTACTCGGGTCCGTTTCTGGTGGGATCGTTACTGCGCCGCTCATCTCCCTTGCCACCCGACTGGTGCCGGAGAGTTTACTGTATGCTTCTGTCTCGGCTTTATCACGATGGAGGGGGGTGGAACTGGGCCCTGTTCCAAGACTGGCTACCGACCTCTTGTCTCCTCCGAATAGCGGCGACACCTCCGCCGCAGGCCCAAGGGCGCGAGGACTTCCTTTTCTGGGGGTGGTCGGTTGATGGACGCTTTACGACACGGTCAGCTTATGGTGCTTTGTCCCAGCCCGGCCCTGCCCCCGTTGCTGGTATTTGGAAATTGATTTGGCGATGGCGCGGGCCCCAGCGAGTGCGGCTTTTTCTGTGGCTGGCGGCTCGAGAGGGTCTGTTAACGAACGTCAGCCGTGCACGCAGACACTTGACTTCCTCACCGGTTTGTCCTATCTGCAGCGAGACGGAGGAATCCACCTCGCATGTATTACGAGACTGTGGGGTGGCGGCAAGGACATGGAAACAGCTAGTCCCACGAGGGCAGTGGTCTGTCTTCTTTTCGGTACCTCTTCGTGAGTGGCTCATGCTTAACTTATCGGGCCGACTGCTCCCGGAGCGCAATGATTGGCCTTCTCTCTTTGGCTTGACGGCATGGCGCTTATGGCATTAGCGAAATCTTAAGGTGTTTGAGGGGACTAAGCAGTCGGTTGTTGGGCGCGTTCGAGAGGTTAGGTCGCTTGCTGCCCGTGTGGGGGCTGCGGTGGCGGAGCACTGATGTTCATCATATTTTCATGCATTATGAGTGATATAGTGTGATGTTTGACCGTGTTTATTGTGGGATTGCGCACCATTTCGTTTGATTTATTAATCTATGATAGAGGTATAGTTGTCGTTGGTTTTGCAGGAAATATGCCCGAAAAAGCGTTAAAGATGGAATCGGGACGAAAAACGGCAAAAATAGGGTGCAGTCAGGGTCACACGACTCGTGTGGTATGTGACACGAGTCGTGTGGGGTAAGAAGAATCGAGCTTTTGTGTCAATTTGGTACGGCCTTCCCACACGAGTCGTGTGGCACATGACACGAGTCGTGTGGGCTCACATGACTCGTGTGAGGACTCGTGTGGTGTACTCGTGTGAGTCTGGGAGCAGGGCAGAAATTTGAAGAAAAGTCACACGACTCGTGTGGCTTGGGACACGACTCATGTGACGCGCAGACAGTCCAGCGGGAATTAGGAAACCTACGCGATTTTGTCCCTTTTTCAAGCCATATTTACCCTACAGTATATAAGGAACATGAAGAACACGGTTCTGGGACTTGGGACACCATTGGAGGCCTAGGGAAAGCACGAAACACACGAGGGATTCGAGGAAGTCAAGATTGAAGATCCGGGAACTAACGGCAACAATAGTTCTTCTTTCTTTTCTCTTTTTCTTCTTCATTGAACTCATGGATTTATTTATTTTGAGTATTGAGAATATGTTTAGTAGCTAAATTTCTTTGAGATTCTAGGATTTGCGAGTACTCGGATTATTTTATGAAGTGATTTTGTTTATTCATTCCGTTCTATCTTTCGTTTATCAATTTCTTGTGCTTATTATTATTGTGTGAGTAGACGGCCGCTATGAATGCATACTTGTAATTGATTTGAGACCGAGAGGAGATAATTGATTGCTAGAATTGGGAAATTCATAACGTAAGAGGCTAAACAGACCGAGAGGTTGATAGGATCTTGCGAGGGAACTAGAATCTTAGGAGTTTATGGGAGTTAGTTGTTCATCTTGAGACCGAGAGGAGATAGATAGCAATTAATATCTACGATTTTCTTGTTCGAGAGAAAGGTTGAAATCACTTTAGCGATTATCCCTACGATTGGTAGAATTAAATAAGGTTTGAATGAATAAGAAAACTTTGCTAGAATAATCCCGAGGAAAGCATAGCCTAGAATCTATTTTCTCATACTTGATTTACTTAGAATAAGCCTTCATTAGTGTTAGAATTTATTTTTGCATTCATTCATTAGTTTAGAATAAAAACTCCAATCAAATTTGCATTTGTCTAGATAATATTTAGTCGTCTATATTTTGGTACTTAATTAGTTTTACAGCAGTCTCTGTGGAATACGACCTTGCTCGCCGCTTTCTGCAGCTACTCCGTACACTTGCGGGTAGTAAAATTATTTTGCGAACAAGCACCAGTGTGTTGGTGTGGGTGTTCGGCGCGAATTACGATGGTTATCTTGGGTGGCGCCGTCGTGGGGTTATTTGAAAGTGAATACATACGGGAGCTATACCCCGTCGTCTGGGATGGCCAGTGCTGGGGGTAATTCGGGATCATCGTGGGGCGTGGATTTTGGGGTTTACGATGAATATCGGTTACTGCTCTATTGTGGGAGCCGAATTATGGAGATTATTTCAGGGACTGCAGCTTGCATGGGACACGGGGGCCCGAAAGATTATTGCAGAGGTTGACAACCAGACTATTATAGCCATGGTGGGTCGAGAGGACTTTAGTGGACCGCACGGTAGCCTTGTTCGGAGTATCCAGGAGCTGATGGGTCGCCTGTGGGAGTTAGAGTTAATTCATGGGCATCGTGAGACAAATTTCGTGGCTGATTTCTTGGCCTCTTTGGCGGCGCAAGGGGCAGGTGGTTTGCACCGGCATGATACCCCTCCTAAGGGGGCGGGATGGTGGTTATCACACGATAATACAGGGGTGTCTCACCCTCGCCAAGTCGTGATTAAGCGTTAACTTGGCGCTTCCTTTCATGTACCAAAAAAAAAAATAATAGTTGGAGACATGTTCGTACAAGCATCAGGAACAGCAGAAAAAGAGAAGTTCTTCATGTTATATTTATTTCCTAATTCGGTTTATATTATTTATGCATATATGAAATTGTATGGTCTTATTATGATATTATCGCCCCTATATATAATTCTCGAATGCGCTAAAACTATGTGGCTGCTTCTGGTGCTTCAGAATCCTACTTGGCGAAGAATCATGCTTCTTAATTAAGTTTTGGACAAATAATAATGATATTAATAATTAATAATCTAGGTTCCGACATTCTATAAATATTATTTAGCTAACTTAGGTATTTTAATATCACTTGTACTAATATAACCCTTTAATTTTTTATAATTTTACATAGTGAGACACAGAGTGACTAATATATCCCTGACTTTTAATTTGTTTCCTTCAATTAGCTATTGAATTGTAAATGTATTTTAAAAGTTGATAACTTTTGTATTTCTTATCGATTTTGCATATATAATATATCAAATTAATCATCTTTTGATTATCTTCGATTTGACATCCATATTTTATATATGAAATAAATAATTATATTTTTCTTTATAATAATAAAAAATAATAATATTTATTAAAATTCATTAGAAAAATAAAATTATTTCTCAATTCATATATTTATGTATAATGTAGTTATATGTTGTAAGTTAAAAAATATTATAACACAACACAAGTAAGTCGTACAAATAAAAAGTGTTATACTAAATATATAATAATATATATTTTTATAAAAGGTATTTAAATTTTCAACTACTTTTTCTCATTAATTTTAGATTTTAAGAAAAAAAATTAGCAAGCACCCGTGTAATACACGGGCGTTTTATTAGTCTTGTAGGAAATCGGATTGCATGAAAGACAAGGAGGAAATCGCATGGTGCATGAAAGAGAGATTAAGAGAGATTCACTTTCCATGTGTCTTCATTATTTATGGGAAGAAGATCAAAGGAGATCAAGAAGGAATGAAACAATTTGGAGAAGACTCCGTGTTTAAGGAGTTGTATAAATACCCTACTTGAAGATCGAATTAAGGTTGCTGAAACAATCAATCACGAGAGCAATATTCGAGCTTCAAGATATTTTGTTCATTTGCTTTTTGTTCGCAGTTCAGTTTAAAGGTTCTTACGTATTTGAGAACTGAAACTGTTTTGTTTTGTTTTCTTTGTCTTATTCAAACATATTTGAGTTTTACACTTTGGGATTAAGTGTTACTAAGAAAGTCCACGAGACGTGGCTGGAAAAGTAATTGATAGGATCGTATGTAGTTGTGGCTAGAAGGAGTTCGAGTCGTGTAAGTCCAAACTATACAGTGTTCTACGGTTTTTCAATGAAATAGGTCTGAGGGGAAGTGTGACGCTTAAGTGAAGAGTTTTTACATCTTCGTGTTCTTGCTTCCGCTATTTATTATTATTTTTCTACGTTCTTATATAGTTGAGTGCACTCACGATAAAAATATACGTTTCAATCCTCATGCACTCTATTGTAGTTTACTTGCCCATTTAAAAACACAAATTTGCTCGGCTCGCCATTCCTAACTAGTACGTACCCCGTGCGATGCACGAGACAAATATATTAAATGAGTTATTTTCACAGCCTTGTCCGTTTAAGTCTAAAAAGTAATAATGTTATTATCTATTTTCTACCTCTCTTAATCAACGTTAAGTCTAAAAAATTATTAAGCCGCCCCCAGCCAAATATGCATGGAGTTATGTGTTCGTGTCTCATAAGTCACAAACATTATGAATAACATTACAAATTATTCATTCAAACGTTTATTCATTGCAAATATATTAAAATAGTTTATATAACAACCATTAAATACTACTTTCAATATATTTATAAATAAAAAGTACATAAAATTTATGGTTTGTTCAAATTTAAATAATTTTTGATGGGTTCAATTTTATATCATTCAGACATTTGGTCAAACGCATAGGTGTGTTCAAATTTAAATCATTGGTATTTTGGTCGGTTGAAATTTAAATCATCTACCATGATACTGTTATATGTATTATATATATATATACAATTTTTTAACAAATAATATGTGCTTTATAAAAATAATAATAATAATTTCACAAGATTTTAAACATAAAATTTAGTTTTTAATCACAATAGAAAAATAATGATAAATTGTATTGAAAAGGTGTTATGAGATAAAATAATTAACTAAAATTATTAAATAAAATACTTGATGGAAATAAAATGCATTAATTTTATTAATTACCTTTTTATATAAGTATAGAATCTTTTTAATCTGTTCAGCAGCTGTCGGCTCGCCATCTCAAATCGATAGGATCAGCCGGCGGCAATCATCAATCGTCGTGCTCGATAGTCGGCGGCAGCTCGCCATCTCGAATCTCATACACAAAGAAGGACTCGGCGGAAATCTGCTCAGGTGGGTGTTTTTGTACTGAATTTTCGTTTCGGGAGGGCTGGTAACCTCAAATATGGGAGTTATGCTGTTATGGTGTTTGATATTTTTGCAAAAAAATTACTCAAATCTCATACATCCTGGTAGCCTAT